ATTGTTACATCGAATGTGTATGCTTTTTTGTTTAGATTCTAATTTCATGGGGCAGTCCAGTAAATCTGAATACCAACCATTTAGGCTAGCTCGCACTTTTTTGTTGGCTATTTTGTACCCAGCCTGGCCCTAGGCCTAGTAGTAGATTAGAATCAGCGGCGGCGCCAGTGAGTGAGTGGTTAATCCGCCTGTCGGACGGGCCAATGAATGAATGCCCTCTGTCTACTATTGGACTAGGCAGTTTTTATAGTATTATTAAAAAAAAAAAAAAAATAGACAAAAGGAAGGATTTTTTTTTTTTTTTTTCTTAATTTGAGCATTATTAACTGCCTGCAACTCTCAGTACTGTATTTTTATAGTAGAATATCTTTAATTTAAAATGACCAAAGATTGTCCAATTTTGTCAATGCACCAGCGGGGCAAGATCTTAATGTAGGGCCTAGGCCTAGTCCCTTGACCCTGCTTGAGTCAGTCAGAATTGACCACTTTTGGACAGCCTTTAACTTTAAGGTCTGGTGCCGCTACTGCCACTGGAACTAAGGTGTAAAGTATCTGTATCGACCAAGGCTTACAAAATAATAAAATACATTTTTATTAAAAGAAAATATATATTAAATAATTGAATTGATTTGAATACAGTAATGTATCTAGTTTTCAATTGAACAGTTTCTCTTTATTTACTGTGTAGGCCTACTGTAATTTTTATTGAAATGTTCATATTTTAATAATGAATGGATAAATGAATAATTTTTTTTTTTTTTTTTGTGTTTTTATGTTTTCATTGTTGGGCCTATGTATGAATGTTCAGAATCCCAAATGACTATCAGTTAATGGTTCACTCATTCATTGATGACCAAATGTAAATATTTGTGTAATGGTCATTATCAGCTGCAATTCAATGCAATAAATATAGTAAAATGAATACTGTATTCAAAGTAATGTACTGCATTCAGTTGTTTTAAATAAGGAACTGCTGTGATAATTATTAAGAACATAAAAACACTTAATTATTAATGCAGGTTACAAACGGTATGATCTAATATTCTGTAATATGAACTGTTTTTTGCTAATAGCAATCATCTTTTAAACTTCTGTCCCATTGCACTGTGTAAAAAAATGTTAAGTGTCTTTTTTGTTAAGTGTTTCACAGAAGCAGCAAGTAAACCAATAACATATGCAGAACATGGAGCTAGGAGAACTAGGTCCACCCGAAAAAGATGTACAAATTATTAAAGGTAAAGTAATCACATCAACATACAACTGATTACGTAAAGGGAGTGCTACTTTAAGCAGCGTGTAAATGCAATACTGAAAATATTTGAATTATACAGTGCGACAAATTTCACAGATTGAAGTTCTTAAAATTGGTTATTATTGGTACCATACGACTCCCATATTATTGTATGAGGCTTGCCAATTCAAAAACCAGTGTACTGTCCCTAATTGTTAAACTAAGTAATTAGCATTAGAGTGTGGCAGTACAGAGAATCTGTAATACCTTACTCATAACTTTGGCAACAGTAAGTGGATTCAAGAAAATGACCCATCATTTTAAAGCTTACAATGTGGGCAATAAGATATTGAAAAGTCAACTTTCTTGTTTTGGTCATTAATGCTGGTTTTGACATGACAAGCCCCATATATGGGAAAATTATATTCATCATAGAAAAGTTGATTTTATGGACAGAGGAGTAGACCAAGTGCCCCATGCATAGACTGTATTGTCCTTTTTAGGATTTGAACCAGTCACCCTCTAAAAAGTGTTATAGTATGAGGTCAAGGTCATGTACAGTATACTCCAATTGTTTTTACCAATAAGAACACATCTTTCAAGGTATTGCATTATAGTGGTTATTCTGACTTTAATGCAAAACGCATTTTTCTACTTCCTTTCAGAAACTGAAAATGCTGTAACTGAATTGAATCGGTAAGTTAGACTTTCAGAATTCTTTCATTTTAATACAGTATTTCAGAGGTCCAAAGTCTTGTGCAAGTTGCGGGATATTCCTGGAAATCGGGACAGCCACACTCCTGCAAGAAAGCCAAAATCTCCCGGAGACTGACCCATTTTCTTTAAATTTATGTTATTTGCATATTTTTGCTAACTGTATTATCGCAAGACATAATTCTCCCCTTTTACCATGGGAAAAATTTTGACACCATGTAATAGGATTGAATAAAAGGCAGACAGTTCAAAAGTGTTGTGTGTGTGTGTTTTCTTTATTAGCTTGCTTCAGGCTTCACTCATGTGTATTCTACTAAAGGCAGTATGGAATAAATGGATTATAGAGGGTGGTATAATAATATTAACTATCAACTTTGCACAAAACATTAAACTATAATGGCTCGAATTCTCTTCACAGAATGGAAAGCACAGAGATCGAGGAAACAACTGAAATCGTTTTTGTCCCAGAGATGATTTTAGAGTAAGTCCAAGTTTCTCATCTAGATATCTAATGATGAACAGTAATAACAAGTCAATTGTGATATCATCACTGTAACGCCTAATGTTATTTTTTAAAATTCCTAACAAAATTTTATTTTTATTTATTTTCTGCCCTCCTCTGACGATCTTTAAAAAATGAGTTTGCGAAACAAGGAATAAAAAAGTCTTGCCTAAGGTGCATTGGCAAAGGAGATTTGCTGAGATTTGATCTTAAGAGTTTAATATATTTCGCTTTAGGAATCAAGATAATTTGCCTACCAGTAATAATACTGCTGAAAATGGTACTGACATTGTTTATACGGTTGCTAATAATGGAACCCAACGTGGACGGCGTCTGCTTCTGGACAGCAGAGGCTATTCATATACTGTGAAGGTACATAATTAAAATGATATAATTGTAATGAATGTTTTGTTTTGTGTATTCAGAATCACCTAATTCAACAATGATGCCACTAAATCTTGTGGGTTATAATGCAAGTAAAAATTTCTTGCCAATTTTAATTTATTGTTTAACTTTTATTGAGATGCAATTTGATTGACTTTTAATATGCTGTTGAATTTTAACTTCCCAGAATTTTAGCTTTCCATAATTTTCTCTTATACTGTATTCTTGTCTATTTTATTGTAATGCACATTTGAACATTTTAGTGGAATTTGCACAATATAAATGAATAAATTATAAAATGAATAAATTATTTGTTATTAAAAATAAGAAGAAAAAAAGTAAAGATTTATTATAAATATAATTGATAGAATACTTTTACAGACAGTATATCAGGCCATTTGGGCGCTTGACAATGCAAGCCATCTGCTGATTGCTGGTGGCATGTTTCAAAAGGGTAAGGTAGCACTAAGAAATCCTTTATTGCGTTCTTTCGTGTAATTTTTCAGTTGGATGGCAAAAAGTACACATACTGGTGGTGCTCAATGCGGAACCGGAGTAGGCGATGTTGTGCAACTGTACGGCAAACGGCCGACGGTTTTAGAGCTGGAAAACGAGATCACAGCCACGCTCCTAAGCCCAAGTGTGTCACTAAAGTTAACATTGTTACAGAGGTATGGCTTTAGAATATTCAGTAATAACAGGGATGTTATTAATGTAAAATAAATTGTCAAATAAAAGCCTTTAATGTAATTGCCATATCTTTAAAGTCAGACTCCGAAGGAAAAACATTTTTGGTATGTTGTAAAACAGATTTTTCTAAGACACAAAAAGCATATTTGATGAGATACAGATTTTGGAATATTTAAAAAATAATAATTATAATAATGATAATAAGATTTATGAAATGCACAATTCCGCTGCAGTAGTGCTCAAGGTGCTAAAAACTGTATCTCAATAACTTTTCCCAAGTTTTTCATCAAATATGCTTTTTGTGTAAATCAGTTGTACAACTTATCAAAAAATTGTTTTTCTCCTGAGCCTGGCTTTGATATCAGACAGAAGGAATGATCACTAAATTAGGAAATACAGTAGTAAAGGAATTTGTAAAACATGCTGGGTAAATACAGTTTCCAAATAGCATGAGTTGATTTGTGTCTGTTTTGGATTAGAATGGTCATCCTGTCTTACCTATTTATATTTATTTATTTATTTATTTCAGATCAAAGAGCGATCAAAATTGATGATACATGATTCTGCCCGTAGTGTTGTACAAGACGTGATCACGAAATATTTGAACGCAGAAGTGATGGCTGGAAGCTTGCCATGTACAGACACTCTCATACGTCTCGCCAATCGGGCACGGGAGCCCCTGCGCCCAAACAACCCGAAGCACCTCAAATTCAAGGTACAGTGTCTCACTACCATTTAGGTATCATAGTTCTTAGGTTTTATGTGCAGTTTCCCTGTTTTCCATTATCTAATCAGTTAGAATACTTTAATCAAAATGCATTTCCTTACCAATCATTCACCTCCTACCAGAGCGGCTTAGCTGGGTCAATTAAGCCGATTGTAGCAACTCTGTGTTTTAGCTGGAGGGTTGAACTGCAAGTTATGATAGCACATCGTCTTGCGGATGAGACGTTTAAGCCGTTGGTCCTGTGTGCATTATGGCCCATGTGCACATTAAAGAACGCAGTACATTCTTTGGAAAAGGGTAGCGAATTGTTTTCTGGTGTGCTGAAAACAAGTATTAATACTTAGTGGGTTATTCTTGGTGTGATTCACACCAAAAATACTGCTACCCATGTATAATCCTAGGAGAAGAGAGGAAAAGGTCAAGTTCCATGCTCAAGGACACAAATAGGGTGAAGAGCATTTTTCTGGAATGCACAACCCGATCCAACGCCTTAAGCCGGAAACTCGCTGCATCGAACGAACGTATGATATAGTAAATAATGGAAAGATTAAAATTGTATGAGTAATCAATACATTTATTTATCTGTGCGGTGGCTCTCTTGTTAGCGGCTTATTTTTGCCTTAATGAGAGTCTCCCGACCATTAATTCGTCATAATTTAATTTATTTATGTCAAGAATATTTGTTGTTATAATTTTTGGTCATATAAAACAATCTAAGTTGTGAGTTCAGAGTTCTGAGTTCGGCCAGTTGAGCGATAGACAACGCGACACCGTCCGCTGCTTGTCGGTAGCAGTCTGAATGGGTCATCATTAAAAGAGATCCGTTGCACGCGCATCGTGGTATCACGTTCTTCATGGAATCGTGCCAGCTGACAACCGTCATGTAGTGAGTGCAAGGCTTAATACGCTGCCGCACGCACTTATAACCGAACTTAAAATTTTAGATTTTGCTTTGTGTTTTAGATTAACTACAAATACATGCCTGAAGACTACATAAAGGCTGATATTGAAATTGAGTGCGAAAGACATATTCTGCTGGCTACTACAGACCAACTGTCTATCCTGGCAGATACTAGGATCTGGTTTGTGGACTGTACAAATAAGGTAAGTGCTGAATTATAATAATGATTGTAATAATACAGTAGAACCCCTGTTAAGGGGGCACCTTTGGGACCAAAATGTGTTTCCTGAATAAGAGTTTGCTGTAGTGTTAAAATGTGTCCTGTCCCTTGTTTCTTGGCTGAAAAATTGTCCCTTTAATTTGCATTTTATGTGGAAGCCAAACCGTACGCATACAGTAACATTAAATTATGAGTTCAACTGTAAATATCACATTTAGTAAATACTGTACTGTAAGAATATATAATGGTATACAATATAAAACAATATAAATGACTGCTTTTAGTTAGACTTTACTGTATGCCCCAAAAAAAACATTAAAAAACCATAAAATTATTATTTGTTTTCTATACATACTGTACATAGATTTGAAAACAAACCTTCATATATTATGGCATTTTTATTTTTATTGTTAAGAGTATTTGCGGCTTTAGCGTAATGTGCTATATAAGCCAAAATTATTATTATATACACATTTTGATAGTGCTTTCGGCACTTGTCTGAAATTTTGTGACCAAATTCTCAAACCACTTCTTTCTACAGTTTATTCAACAACCTTTTACCAAGCTTTTATCAATACACACTTTTGTGAGGACGGAACATCAACTAAAGACCGTCCCGCTTGCATTTGTCCTGATGTCGAAACACCGCCAACGTGACTACAAAGCAGTGAGTGAAGCATGGCCAATATTCATAATAGCCTTCTCAGTTTAATTTACTTCTTATTTTTCTAAAAAAACAAACATTGTATTTTGTTTTATTTAATTAATTTTTTTTTTTAGGTATTGGAACACATTATTAAGATTCTCCCTCACCGGCAGTCTGTCAGGAAATGTGTTCTTGATTTTGAAATCCCGATGTGGAAAGCATTCCATTCTGTTTTACCTAATGTAAGCCTTCAAGGCTGTTCATTCCACTGGGTGAAGTGCGTCTTAAAGAAGGTGCAGAAAATAACTACAGTTGTGGTAAGTGTGATACATGATACAAGTCTCTCTCTAATTAAATACCCCTCCAATTAAGGACCACTTTTCTGTGGTTCCATATTAATAGATGTCTTTCATCTTTATTATTCTAATTAGAGACCAAAGCTGCTGAAGACCATGAAAACCCTGGCCCCAATAGTGGTCTTTAATTGGAGGGAGAGTATTTAAATGTTATTATAGAGGGCAGTGTAATGTAAACAAAAAGAAGACTCATACATCAGACAGATCAAACACTAACAAATCTTACAGATTTGTCAGTGTAGCCCAAGGTGTTGCTTTAAGTACTGTTTATACACTTTATCACCTAACAAATGTGTACCTTGCTGTCATCTTTTGCCACCCAGAAGGCCTAACGAGGCTTAATGGTTTTGTTTGTCGTGTAGTATGGCGTATCCAGAACTTTTAGCTGTATTTGTTATGAAACTCAGCCCATCTTTTATGCTCCACGTTAATTATTTTGGATTAAAAATAATAAACATAAATTAAAAAAAATGCAGAAAAGGCTGCAGCTCTCAGCAGGTGGAAATGGCACCGCGAGAAGCTCTCTGAGATGGATGCATGTCCCTTATTGGACGACATTATTCTTATTGTTATTAATATATATTTTGTTATCTTTCAGGAGGCAGAAATTAGGTTAGCGAGAAAAGTAATGGCACTAGTTTACATACCACCTGAGGAGATAGAAGATGCTCTTAGTAGGTGAGACAACAGTGCTCTGCAATTGACAAAATATTTCCTGAATACTTTAAATTCAATTTTTCAATTCAATTCAACAAAACATTTATTTACTTCTAGAGGCACAACAAGAAAATACAAAATAGCAAATACAAAGTAGTACAACAATTTGGAAGAGGACCACGACCCCAGAAATAAACTGTTAAATGCCAAATTTTACAAGATTCAGGATTTATTTATTTTTATTTATTTATTTATTTACTTGACCTGAGGGTCAAGGATATGCAAAGAGCGAACTTAATCGCTTTACTAATTGGCAATCCTTTCACAAGACCAACATATAAACAAGATACTGTACATAAAGTTAAGTGAAGTTGTTTTGCTGGTCCTGAGAAAAATCATGGGTTCTGTGATTGAGTTCTGAATTGAACCCAGGACCCTGGGCTTGGAAGACAAGCATCTTAACTACTAACCTATTCAACTCTTTGTGTTGTTTCTGTGATTTGTTTATTGTGTGATAATGCATATGGAGTAGATTTGTATCTTAGTGGTTAAGTTGCTTACCTTTCAGTTCCAGAATTTTGTGTTCATATCCTCTACAATGCCAGAATTTTTTGTCTAACTAAAGCTCCGTCTACATTATCAAATTTTCTTTGACAAAAGACTGATTGTATGCCCATATTTAGTCAAAATGTGCCTATATATGGCCATGGTGTGATGTCATCATGACCATATATAGTCATGATGTGCCTATATATGGTCATGATTTAAATTCATCATGACCATATTTAGGCATGTCACATGTTTTTGTCAAATCAAATTTGATAGTCTGGACAGGGCTTTAAGCAAATTCTTAATGATGAGTTGTGTTCACATTGGACTTGTTTTAGTCAGACTGTCCACATACCTATTCGCTTTGACCAAAAAATTGAGTGCTAACAGTCTTTGTAACATTCTCAGGTCAAATTACAAGGTATAATTAACCGAGTGAATGCTGTCCAGGAAGAATATCCAAGCTGTATTTTTCGGGCTAAAAAGTTAGATCATCTTGAGCTAGTGCTAGTACCATGCCCATCTTTGAACTTGACATAGAATGTATTTGGCTTAGTAATTGTTTCTGAATGTAGCTTACTATCAAAGGTAGGTGTGTTAAGAAAGCTCATTAAAGTAAGTCTCTTGGAAGGAGCTGCTTTTACCTTGCTAGGACAGATTGCAAGCACCATGTGTATCATCTCTAAACTGTAATTTTCCTCCACTCTCTTGCCTTGTGTTTTTTCTTTTCACTTTCCTTTCTTTGTGTTGTTTTCTTCAGTGTTTCGTTTCTGTTTCTAACCATTTATTTTGGTTTCTTTTCTGTAGTCCTAGAAAGCGCATAGAGATGAATGTTATACAAGTGCATGACCTTTGACTATTTTACTTTCTTCTCAGACTGGAAAAACAAGCCAAGAAGAGTCGTATTCTAAGCGACATCATTAAGCACATAGACAAACAGTGGGTGCAAAGTAGTTTTTGGAGCCCACAGCATTGGAGTGTGTTTGAACGGATTGTACGAACAACCGAGGACGTAGAGGGCTGGCATAAAACTATGGTTGAAAAAGACAAAGGTAAACATTTTACAGTTAAATTAGGGGGCTTCCGATTTGCGACGACATAGAACGTAATGACGTCATTTTAATTTAACTGCGCATGTCTGAATGTTGTGTGTTACGTTCTCTACTGAAGTCTGGAATGTTTGTCTGCCAAATTTACATTCAGGCCAGAACAAGGACTGTACTGATTTAAACATTGATGTATCAGTCTTTTGCGTTGACATGCAATGCAAAACACACGTGACGACAGTCATGGATGAATGAATCTATTCTATGTTCCCGTTCTGCGTACTCAATCGAAAGCTCCGTATCATAACACGGTGCCAGATCCAGAATTATTTTGCCAGGGTGTGTGAGTAACAATCGTGGACCTAAAGTCCAAAGAATTTGTTAGCTTTTTAATCTACTATCTAAATGATTTCACACTTGGTGATTTTTGGGTTGCTGCCAGGGGAAGGGGGTGGGAGAGCACCCCTTTTACCACACCTGGATCTGCCACTGTCGCGATCACACCACATTATTCAATAAGTTCAATAAGTTGTGGATGTCAAAATCTACATTTCCACTTTCCAGTTTATAAAGAAATCAATGCTCAATAATTCTGGCAGGAACCATCTATTATAATGCTTAGTGGTTTTAATTTTAAAGATGTATTGTCCCATGCTAAATACCAACAAAATCATAAAAATATTTTTTGAAACTAAGCCCATTTTGAAGTAACATAAAAGTTATCAACTTGAACATAGAAATTAGTGTATTTAAAAAATGTCTACCCATCAGTTTACAGCGAAAAATGATAGAAACAATTCCTGTCACTGGAAGTGTTTTATTATTTTTATTAGAATTTTTTGGTTTAAAAATCAGGGTACACGTTTTTTAAATTCAATAATTTTTATGCACAAGTTAATAATTTGTATGCTATTGCAATATAAGCAAGTTTATTTCAAAATTATTTCTTATGATTTTTTGACATTAGCAAGGGACAATACATCTTTAAGCCATGAAACAAAAGGACGTTGAAAGCACACTAACCACTGATCTACAGGTTTCTTAATATTTATATATCTTATGATCATGATAAAGGTAGAGATTTGTGAATTGCTACTTAAAAGACCAGTCAGTATCAGCAGGGCTGCATGTTAGTGGTAGAAAAAGTGTCGTATACCCCATTCAGACTAGCGTCGCATTGCTATCGGTTGTAGCAATTGCAACACCCAATCGCAAAGTAAAATCATCAATAGTTTGCAATTGTTATCCGTTGCGATTGGGTGCTACAAGCTTTATTACTCTCGATTACCACGGAATCCGATCGCAACGGATTACACAGGCACTGATTGGCTGAGGTCAAACAAAACAAGACGACCTATGTCGTTGCTAGTGATGTAAAGTATCAAAGTAAAAAGGTGTCTGAATGCTGTCAAGTTTGCGAACAATTTGGATTACAACTGTTTACCACCAATTACATCGCAACCGGTCGCAATCCAAAGTCTAGTCTGAATAGGGTAGTAAGTGATTTTTTTTTAAATGAAGCAATGGAAGTGGATTGGTAGTGCATTGCACAGTGAAGTGCATATCACATATGTATGTCTGGCTTATTAATTTTATTAATTATTTTGATTTAGGAGAGGGGATTGGTATGTACAAATTGGTAGAGCAACTCCACACTGTATCTCTTGACCTTCCTTTCAAATGGAGGCTGGTGTCTAATGAGAAGCTATATACACTGCAAAGGGAAAAGGTAGGAATATGGTGAAAATTGAATACTGTAACCATTGCAACAATGTTTCTCTCTCAAATGAATCGGAGAAATTATGGTTTAATAAATATAGGTCACAGGACTACGAGAGTACTGTACATGGACGGATATCTGTATGTCCTTATGCATGTACAGTTAAACTTGCCTAAGTCGACTTTATATAATTATTTAAGAATAATTTCTAAAGCTAGATTTACACTGGACACGATAACGACACGACAACAATACATCATTGCGTAGTTTATATTCTTTAAACTGCGCGCATCGCTATTTGTCGTTGTTGTGTCGTAAATGTGTCTAGTGTAAATATAGCTTTAGTCTAACTTATGTTACATGCCAAGTTGTTGTATTTTCCAATAATTAACAATCTGTAAGTTGAATTTTATCTGTCAAAAAATTTGTCATTGGCATTTTAGATTCGACAAGTTCAACTGTACATCCTATTCTGTGCTTCACTAAATCTACTACATATTCTCTCATAAGCCAGTATTGGCTGGCCTTTGTACAGGGGTGAGACGTTAATGAATAAACATTACTTTACTTAATTATACTTACTAGAAAAGGCCCACACTATCAAATTTATTTTTTTTTTAAATTGGTTGTGATAAGACATGATCATCACACAAATATATCACATAAAATTGAGGATTCATAGCTTGGTTGCCATACAATCGCTACTCTGTCACTACATTGTTTTCGGTGCGATTGTTGTATTGCATAGCAGCCCCCAATGATGCAATGCGGAAGGCTCCCTGATTAGAATGACCAATCAGCATCACTGAAAGCTGACGGCGATAGCGTGTAGCGACTGTATCAACAACAAGTTTTATAAATAAATATTAAACATCAAACAAGAAGGAGGTCAGAGAAGTCTATATATATAGTACAGCACTGGTTTGTTTTTATATTTTTTAGAAACACTGCCAGCAAGCAAAGTTGTTCAAATTCTGGAGAAGATATTTAAAACAGAAGATTAGCATTGATGAACTTATAGACTGCTGTACTCTACTGGATTATCCGTTGATCTAGAGGTCAACATACTCGATAATGTCATGGAATTTGTTGAAGAAAAGAACCAGGTTCTTCAGCCTGCTGCTGTATAATGATTTAAAGACTTCTTCACCAAGCAATATGCATAATTTACATATATATTGTAGTGCAGGTGCTACAATTGAGGGTGCTACACCAATATCCCATAATGTCATCTCTAAGTGAATTATAATTTTGTGAATTTAGTTATCTTTGGGATTCTGAAACACTCATGTTTTGGTATTGCGTAGAAAACAGTGTGCTGAAATTATTAAATTGGTTGACATTTCAAGAAGTTTTGAACAAATCATAAAAAATAATGGTATTACTGTATTGTAATGTAATACTTATTATGTCTGCCATTATTTTTCTGATTATTTTGTATATTTCTTTGCTGTATTTTTATGTACTATAATGTTTTGTTAACTAATTAAAGATAATAACAATAGTGTAATCTGTGTATTGTATATTACATGCATTTCATGGTACAAAATAGCCAACATATGGTACAGGTTAAGGGATGTGGGAAGGAAATCTTTAGTAAGCTTTTTTTTGACACATATTGTATTTTAATGCATGTAGTGATAACCATGACCAGCTAACATAATTATTAATACAGTAGAAAAAAAAAAACAGACATCCAAATTTGCAGGATGATAGGGATAGATTGTGGGACATTTTTGATTGGCCACAGGAGTATGGGAGACTTCCAGTTTTTCGGCAAAACTCTGATAACTTGTGGGTGACTTGACAGTATATAATGTGTACTGTTTTTTTTATTTAGATGGGGGAGAGATGCTGTCGGACAGGGGTGTGATTATGGGGGCTTGATCTCTGAGCCCTGAGGCACTTAGTTTTAATAGTATGGTAATATTCCAGTAAGTAGAGGGCTGTACAGATAACGTAAATTATTGTATACAGTATTGGACATACTGATAATCTGGTGCATTAGGAGCTCCTGTCAAACACGTCCATTACTAATGACCGCCTAAAGTAGTCATTCGCTTATAAAGCTGCCTTCTCAAATTAATCTGGGATACAATAAAAATATTATTCTAATTGTATTATTAACACACTTTATAAATTCTTACTGTTTACAATTGACTTAACAAATTTAAGAAAATTTATTTGAAAAATGTGTTCTCTCGTAGCCTGTCTTCTGATCAATCCAAACGGTTGTAGAAAATGGCAGAAAAACGGAAATATAAGAGGCCGAAGTCATACTATATTAAATCAGCAAATAAAAAGTTTAGGAAGAGTGGAAATGAATTAGACGCAGACATGAAGGGTTTCCTGATTACTTGCAATCGGAATGAATTTGAGTGCAGGAAAGATGCCTACCAGCTCCTGAATGAGTATGCTGATAAGCTATATGGTCCCATCCAAGACGATAAAAAAGGTAAGCGTCTTCAATATCTCCACACTAAGCAAGATTTTGTGACGTGTGATTAGCCCATATATGGGCATGATGATGTCATACGACATCCATATAAGGGCATGAGGAGCAAAACCGATCACATGTTGAGCTTGTACACTACTGTATTTGAATTTGCATGCTTTTTATATTAATGATTTTAATATTTTACTATTCCATATATAGTGATGTCATAGCACATACATATATGAACTTAAAGATATCATACCACACCCATATATGGACAGATCACATGTTCAGCTATTACACTTCAACAATATTTGAAATGCATACTGTACTTTGTATGAGATTGACTTTGAATTGGAATTGCCTTTCAGCTGAATTTTATCACTTGTAATATATTTTCCTAGCTGTTTTTTACAAGTAATGCCATTCTCATATTTTTTCCATAAAATGACTAACAATATGGAGTGTCAACTTTTGAAGCATGATCTAGAATAAATCAATTTTACAAACTGCTAAATTGAATCCTTATTTTAGCTGATACTCTATTCACTTTATAGCCAGGCTCCTAAGGGAAAAAATTCTTGGTACTGTTTTTAAACTGATGTTTCTAAGACACATAAAGCATTATTTGGCGAAAAGTGGTTAGTGTGATACAGATTTTTGAATATTTAAAAACTGGGGAAGGGGTGGAAGGGGCTTACACTCTGTTTTCCGCCCTTTTCCCCCAGTTTTTTAGTCTTACAAAAATCAGTTGTACAACTCCGACGAAGAGATTTTTATAGTAAATAGACTATAATGTGCAAAGAGATAATTTTGAAAAAAAAATAAATACTGAATGAGTCTCATGTATTTTGTAACAGATGAAAGTGGTGAAGAAGACTTTGACTTGGCCCTGAAGAAGGAAGTCGCAGATTTGAAAGAAAAGAGGAAATGGCGATTCAATGCTATGAAAACTGGTACTAATAGCGTCCTGTTTATATCAGCAGAGGTAAGTACAATAAAACATGAATAACCATATTTAAAGTATTCTAAGTATAGATTTATTGTGGTTATTAAAATATCTTGCATAAGCCCTTTCGCCTGAAATGGCTTGTGTAAGGCGAAAATTGTTTATACAAGATATTTCAACAAACATAATATGTCGTATATAGCTCTAACAGGAATAAATAGGTCAATGCAGCAGATGCAATTATTATATAAGTATAGATTTTTTTTTTTTTTTAATAATAATTTGTAAATGCAGTTGAATAGCTTGGTGGTTAAGATTAAGCTTTTCTTCTCATCCAAGGGTCCTGGGTTCAATTCCCGTCATGGTAACAAGATTTTCTTCTCATGACAAAAACAACTCCACTCCCTAAGCCTCATAATGACACTTAGTGTATGTAGAATCCTTGACCTTTGGCCTGTAACCAGTTAATAATAAAAAATATATATATATAATTACAACACCTATTATAGATTTTGTTATTTGCTTGGTTGGTTATAGGTCATATGAGAATAAGTTATTGGTTCCAATAAATGAAAGAAGGATGAGCTTTGCATTTATGATTGAAATTTTACTTTTTTTGATTTTTCCAGATTGAAAATCCATGTGAACTTGCACATCACATCCTCACTGATCTCCAGCAGACAAAGAAGCTGAAATCACGCACCATCTTGCGTCTCCTTCCCATAACCGGCACATGTAAAACCTACGAGGACAAGATGGAGAAACTCGCAGAAGAAGTTGTGGCTCCACATTTTGAGTTCAGTTGTAAAACTTACATGTATGTTGTTAAAATCCGAAGCAATAACGCTGTAAGTCGTGGAAGCATTATTAAGATTCTGGACACGGTTATTCGACGTAATGAAGATCTGAATCATCAAGTGAACATGGATGATCCAGATCTTGTGATCCTCATTGAAGTCATCCGCAACATCTGCTGCTTCAGTGTCATCAAAGATTACAAGAAATTCAAGAAGTATAATTTGCATTCCATTGTAGAAGAACCAAAAAAAGAGAAGAAAGATGAGGTGGAAGATAAAACAGAAGGAAATAATTGCAGTCAAGGAGAGGAGAAAGGTCCTGCAATTGAGAGTACACCAGCAGAGATGGAGACATCCACTGCAATTCATGAACCTGTTGAAGTGAAAGAAACAGATGAGCATTCAAAAACAGCTCTAAATGTTGCTGGCGAAGACCTCAATGAACCTGAAGCAGATAAGAATGCCAGTATGTCTGTCAAGGTTACTGATGACTGTGTTGATGATGTCTGCAATCATCCAGAGGCTACTGGTGATGACAGCAAACAACCAGATGGACACAAGATTGATGACACTGTAGGTGATGAAAGCAAACCACCAGAGGGTGATGCTGTTGTACTGTAGTTTCAAAATAGTAACCATGGTTTTTAGAGGCCAAGGAGAGAAAAGCATCTTCAGGTTCTAAAAGTCCTTGTTGTGATACAGTGTAATTGGAAAGAGAGAAGATGATATCCTCTGCCACAATTTTCAGCAGAGATTGCAGGACTACATGCAGTCCCAAATGCTAAAACTATCACAGAAATCAATCATAACTTGGGCCTACGTCACTGATTATTCGTTAATGTTAATAGCCATTCTCAGTAATCTTGTATACTACCGGTACCTGCATGCTTAGTGGAAAAATATAATAAGTGGATAAAGCGGTGTTAGGTTAGCACTAAGCTTTCGGACTAACTTAATTTAAGTTAGCCTATAAAATGCTGTGGTGGTTTTAATTTTATACATGAAGAAATATGTCACTTTTTTTTGCCCACGTAATTATGACGTTATAACTAAGGGACATTGTAACTTGGTCTGTACCAGTAATCAATCTTTTTTCTAATGAATTTTCTAATTCTTATGAATGGAAATTGAAAAAAATTAATCTTTAGCCTGCTCTCTTCATACGGATCTCTGTAAGCATGTCAAGTTTAATTGCAATTCGTCCTTCAATGTCACAGCCTTTAGGTAAAAACTTGAGGCATTGTCAGTGACCTTTGACATTCTATGAATATTGAAATATAACATGTATTATAAACTCAGCACATTAAATTTTATATAAAGAACAATTTTTCTTTTCTGACCATTTCTACTGTGGTGTGGTGTTACTGTAATATTATACTAGAAATGAAATCAGAATGGATGCTCATAAGTTTGTAAATTAATTTATTATCCAAAATTTATACACTCTTTAAATTACATTAATCTAATTGACCACATACCTGAAATGCAAAACAAAATGGCAAGGAATGATTGTGATTTCAAAATATTATTACAGTATTATTAATTTTAAGAATACATAAAATAAAATATAAAGAGCATTTTGAATAAGTTCAGTAATGCTCCTTATATTTATAATTGAACCCCCAATACAATGCACTGCTAACACATACCATGTTAACTATTCTCCTTAAGTTGTCCACTAAAATCTTCGAGACACCATCTCTTGTATAAACAGCTCATTTAAAGACCTTTTCACTACAAAAATACTTTACCCAATATAAGGGTATACGCAATAAAATAAAAATGTATGTGTGAAAGATATAATATACCCTAGTAATTTGTAAAGCTAATGAACTTGCTTAAACCAGTAAGCAATTAATTTTGAACTATTTTACATCATCTACATGTAGTAAATAAACAAATTTGTACATTCTAATTCTAAAAGTACTGACCACTACCAAAAAAATCACCACTAAAGCTCTGTCCAAATTATATTTTCTTTGACAAAAAACTGCTGTATGCCCATATATAGTTATAATGTGCCCATATATGGTCATGATGTGATGTCATCATGACCATATTTAGGCATGTAACATGCTTGTCAAATATAATTTGATAGTCTGGACAGGGCATGGTTACAAAATATTTGAATTTAGGACATTCTGAGGTTGTGGTAGCATGGCCAACAATCTCATCAACTCCTCAAGTCGTCCACTAACGGCTTTAACTTGAGGGCGCCATACTCTGGTCCGTGTAATGCTACAACAACATTAGAACATGCTCTTCCCTGGAGATCCAACAAACTAGGTGTAGAGGCCTATAATACATAGTTTAAAAATGTGGATAAAAATTACATGAAGAGAATAGAGGTGGTGAAAACCCCCTCCCCGTTGTTCAGTTAAAGTTATGTTGGAAAAAATTAAGAATATTTACAGCTCAATAGCACAGGCAAGGTAGACATACTATGTGGTGATTATACAAACAGTATAGTAGCCAATTTCCCGCATGTTTGTGAGGAGGTGGAACAGGGGCTTGGCACAGAGACCCCATCAAAAAGCAGCATTTCATAAGTAATAATTTTTTATACCTTTTGAGGGCCCATCAAAAAGCAGCATTTCATAAGTAATAAGTAATAATTTTTTATATCTTGGTTACCGAAAGCAAATATTGATGATTTCGAATAAAAATTAAGTTTTTTCTTTAATTTCATAACGCCCTCCGCTGCCTTGAAATCTCCAAAGATAAGATACAGTATGTATATTTCTTCCAAATTATATAAATCTGAAGCATTTAACTATCCTATTTTACATTCCCCAATAAAATTTTATTTTTATTTTCTCCTCCATCTGGATGATTTTGGCAAAACTATTTGCTAAATAAGAAAACAAAATTTTATTTTTATTTTGCCCTCCTTCAAAATAAGTATGCGAAACAAGGAATAAAAAAAGTCTCGCCTGACATAGACTTAAAACTGTTGTCCCCTGCCCCCTGTCCTGTTTGTGAAAACTGCACCCACAGTACCTATAGTTACTTGAATGTCAAAAATTCTCAATCTACTATATCTATATACATTATTTCACTATTGCTTCTGACAATGAATTTATAGTATGACAGATTGCTGTTTTGGGCAAAAAACAAATGCATTTTTGCATAGGAAATATTGGAATATTATTCTACTTGAATATCTAAAAGAATTTCTGGTCTTCTAAAGTTGGCTCTATTTCTCTAGCTGATTGATCGTTTGCATTAGTTTTCTCCAGGGGAATAAATCATCTTAGTTGAGGTCCTCCTACTGCTTCACCTCACCATTCTTTTTATCTGTGAATGAAAATAAAACATTTTAAATTTGAATAACATATGACTGAAAACAAATCCATAAGAAAGAAATATTTTAATGCTCCATTTACTTATAGATGGCTAGGGAAATGGGAAAATGTCAGTAGTCTTTGCATAATGTCCAAACACATTATGCTTCTAATGTAAAGTTCTATAAAATATAGTATACTTATACAATTATAATTATATATATAGTATACTATAATGGCTGTGTACCATACTGCAGTGTCCCTCACTATAATAAGGGGAGACAAGGGGAGGAAAGTTGGTGAGTCAAAAGAGTGGCATGTGCCCCCTGGATCCAAGCATGCACTACCTGTTGGTATTTAGAGTACAGTATTTTCTATTACGTCATGTTGAAGAATATGGATATAACTGGTATAACCACTCACTTGTTGATTTCTAAAGGAATACTGATGATGATGAAGGTTGATGCTAATAAAGAGGTAGATGAGGATGACAATGATGATGATCTTTATGATTATGATCTTGAGTCAACAATCTCTGAAACAAGAATACAATAAGCCAATTGTAGTTTGAACTGCGCATGCTCGTACCAAGGTTAATTAACATAAACAAGCATACACACAACATAGGTTTATGTTCATTGACCCTGGATACAGGCATGCACAGCTCAACCACGAATTGGCTTATTAGTATTAAAGTTTCTTTACCTTCAGTCTTTAAAGAGACAAACTTTAAAGACTCTGAGAATATTCAAAAGCGTGATTTCCCATCAGGACCGTCACCGAGAAATTCATGTCCCAGTCCATTTCCACACTTTCCACACGATACCTAATAGAATAAACATGATAATGCAATAATGAAATATTTATAGCCAATATAATTTTGTGATTTAAATTATGTGGGATCTTGTTTGCCTAATTCCCAGGAGGGTTTAATTGATTGCATAGTTACCAACCTGCAAGATATGAAATGTGTGACTACACCAGTTGGGTTGTGGGGATGGTGGCCGGGGGCCCGGTTCCATCACATAATCAACAGTTGGTTGTGACAATGGACACGCAAGACCGCACTCGACTACTAGATTCTACTAAGTGTGTGGTCGGCTGGGTTGTTTTGGTCGGGAAAGAGAAATTTTCTCAATGAATTGATTCACAAATTCTAATGCACACTCTACCGCAAAATCCTGCATCCACCCCAGCATTTATCACATTGTGCTTGGCTGCATGTGATGGTGACATAGCTTAACAGAATTATTATAAACATATTAAAATCTGAAAAATTTAGGCTCTCCAAGAACAGCTTTGCCAATAGTATTATTGACAATATATTGTTATGTACTTTGTTATGTTCATCCATGATAATTTTCAACATTTTCAAAAGAGTACAAAACATACTCTTTTCAGTGACCTCCATCTGAAAGAGTGTGCAAAAAATGTTGATTTGTGTCATTTTCAGATCAACATTTTATCTTCTTCATAAAAGAGTACTGATGCCAACACTTTCAACCTCTTCAACCCTAAAGTGTGTGCTTTGAACTCTTTTGAAAATGTTGATAATTGTGGATGGCCCCTAAATAGGTTTATTAATGGGTACAATATTGTAATCTCCGTAAAATTGTTTTTCCTTTTCATATTCTGTATTTCCGTAGCAATTATGCAAGTTACATACAAATTGAGCAGCTTACTTAACTATTAGGCCCCATAAAAAAAATGATTAGTTTATCATTCCCAATCATCATTCACCAGCCTTAAAATTTGTTTTTGACGAACAAACGATCGTTTTTTCAATGAAAAAAATCTAGTAAAAAAAAAAAAAAAAATCGCGATTTCGTCAAAAGAGATGCGCGCGGGGATGATAAACTAATCATTTTTTTTATGGGGCCTTATGTGATGCTGCAGACTTACTTTTAAAGCTCTTGCACTCTCTTTTCGCTTTGAGACGCTGTCAGCATGCACAGTCTCGGTAAATGCAGGCCACGGTGAGGAATGTTCAAATTTTTTCCTGCTGTCGAACAGTTCATACCCACACTTGGAACAAGTGTATGTGCCTACAAAAATCATGATTGAGTATAAAAATAATGATTCAGTCAGCTCTCTATCCATTTAGGCCCTAAAACTAGGCCAAGGCCTAAATCAATCAAATTCAAAGAAGGTGATATAGGCCTAGGCCTAGAGGCCCCTAAATAAAACGTTTTTCTTCCTCCAAATTTCTTATTTTCATTGAACATAAGGTTAGCCTACTTATGCCTATTTGAGCACCACAGTCACCCTAACTAATGAAGACCTAGGACTAACCAAGGTCCTACCTAGTAGTAGTAGTAGGTCACTGTCAAATCGTGTACAGGCCAGGCCTAGCTAGGTGGGAGACCCTACCTAGGCCCCTCTAGGTAGGCCCTGACTGGCCCTAGCCTAGGCCAGCTGGCAGCTAGTAGTAGGCCTAGTTGGCCCCTCCCTCCTGGCCTAACTAAGGCCCTAGCCTAGGCAGGCCCTAGGCCTAGGCCTAGAATATGTGAACAATTCAACTTCACCTACCATTTTTAAAATGGTCTTTGTACTTCTCGCCAGAAAACCAACCACAGAACGACATTTTAGCAAATTTTCAGGGATGTTTATATTAATTTATAAATCCTTTGCAAGATGACTTGCAAATCAATAAACTTCTCCAATTTCCTGTACTCACAGTTACGTAAGCGTGGCTCTTTCATTTTTTGCATGGGGATTTTTTGTTTGTTTTATGAACGCAATAAAGTAAATTCGCGTCATTTAACATGAATTCATGACAGTTTTGCGTTAAATTATAATAATTCGCGTCAACTTGAACGCAGCAGGTATGGGGTTATCGGCGATGCGAATCAAATGACAAGGGTTAATGAATAATGGGAATGATTATGCCCACCAAAATTTGCGAATACAGTATTTTGTTTAACAGCCTCCTTGGAAATAGTGGGAGGATACTGAGACAACTATGACGTAGTTTGTCTCAGGACTGTATAATAAGGTAAGATATACACAATAGGCATACATGATATTTTATATTTTCTAGTGATTAATAAAATTAAGCAGGCCCATATAGAAACAGAACAGTAAAATACATAAATAAAAAAGTAACGGTCTTTCATTATTAGCACGTGACAAACGGAATATTTAAAATTACATTTTTTTTTATTATTCGTATTCAGTGTGTGCGTAACGAGATGTTTATAATTTGTGGTAACAAGAACGAAACTGTGACGTATGTGACGTAGTCGTTTTCGTTATCATATTTGTGAGGACTTCCCTATGTAATCATAAAAAGACTTAACTAAGACTAACCGCGGTAGAAACATAATTGTACTTGAGAAGAACATTAATAGAATGTGTTGATATCGATGATGCCTCCATTAGTTTTGTTACAGTCATTTAAGGGCGTTATTCGAAGAAAAAAATAAACGCCCTGGGTGCGTCATACGAGGGGGAGGCGTTTATTAATGAGACTCTGAGAGGGGTGCGTTTATTCGAGGGGCGTTTCTTCGAATAAATACGTTTTCTAAGAAAGGAATGAGTAATCATAAAACGCAGTTGTTACTCAGTATTAATCATAGAGATATCATAGAAATAGCAGAAAAAAAGTTTTGTCTTCGTGGCGTTTAGTACAGCTACTCTAAAAGTAGCGCATTATTATAGAGGGCGGTCGATAAAGTCATGAATCCACACTATCTGTCTGGAACAGTACGAACGGGTAAAAAAAAAATTGTTATTTACGATGTTGCAATAAATCTGGTAAGCATATATTTTACAATCAAAGCATTATAATATTGGACTGGTAACTAAGTGCCAGCAAAAATGCATAAAACATGTAAGAGTAATTTTGTGGCATGCTGTAATTTACTATCGTAGGCCCCTAGCCTAAGTAGGCCTAATAATATAACTAGGCCTAGCCTAGGTATTAATATATATGGTGTACCTTACCTCAGGCTGTAGGGCCAGGCTTGCTACTCTCTACTCTAACTCAGACTCTAGTGAGGTGAAACTGTATGTATAGCATGGTAAGTCGGGCCTAGGAGTTTAGGCACGCTGTCAGTGGTGGATGATGGAATCCCGGATGATGTAGTGTGATACGTAGTGTAACTGCTTCAAATCAAAGACTTCTAATCAGGTCACAAACAGAGCTTCAGAATGAAACAATGAATGAGAGAATGCAAAATTGTTTTTTGAAATCTGTTGATTATTCTGATTATCTTAATGATTTGAAATAGGCATAGGCCGTAGGTTAGGCCTAGGCTTATGTTAAGTCCACACGATATTGGTTTTATTAATCTCAATACATTTTCCTTTATATCTTTTTAACAGGTTCTCGTCACAAGAGCCATCACTGAGGAGAAAAAATTTGAATAATTATCCTTTGTGTTCACATTTTATTTGA